GTGCTGCACCCTATGAGGATAGATGAGAGTGTGCACACACAGCTCAGGGAGAAGTTTGGAGACAGGATGCTCAAGATGCAGAAAGGGCAAGTACTTGCTGTGTGATGTATATGGGGAGGACAGATTTGAAAAAACATTGAAATTTTGTGAACTGACCTTGTCTTTTAAGTAGTAAGGATTTTAAGTATAAAATACTGGTACATTTTTAAGTGCCTTTTTTCTCTACATTTTGAAAAGTGCTTGTAGAGTTCAGTATTAAATTTTTCTCATCATCATTATATATATATAATATATCTTTCTTGATCCACATGTAATATCACTTTTGGTATATCCTCATGGAGTATTTTAAGTTTACATGTTTGGTTGTCTTTTAAACACGGGTTGCTTTCAATTTCAGGGACGTCCTGGAGTTTCAGAACAGCTTTTCTTTTGCCTGTCCTAAGTTTCTGTCTCCCTGTCCGCCAAACTATGATGCCACACCTGCCAACTTCCACAAGGTAAAACAAAAAATCATAAATAGGGTTTTTTAATGAATATCAGTTTTTCTTTATTTCACTTAATAATTTTGGTTAGTTTAACCCCAATGAGTGTCATTTCCATGCTACTAGCTTAATTAAGCAAAGGGAGATTTCAATTAAATATCAAAAGAAATATTTTCTTCAAAAAATTGTGTAATATATTTCGTTATAGTCCAGGATGAGTTAGTGACTGTCAAAGATTCTATAAAACTGTGAAGTAATAGCCCTCAATATGGAAATTATGTAAATAGTATAGCTAGATGATACCATGTTTTTGTTCTCTAGGAACCGTTTATGCAGCAGTTGAAGGTGTTTATGGATGAGGTTACCCAGCAGGCATTGCTACCAACTATTAGAAGGTGAGCACAGACACATTGTGTACTGTCACATCTAACACAACCAAGGATGTGATGCTTCAGGGGATTTCCAGATTTTAGGAAATTTTACTCAAGTTCAATTGCATCTTAAAGTTATTATTTTAGGAATTTTTGCATAGTAGGAGATTTTTTTGTTACACTATCATATATCCAGTCAGTATAAATTTTAAATTTTGATTCGTAAATTAGATATGAAATCAGTTGTTGCACATATAAATCAACACACCAGCACACAGGCACTACTAATGTTGTATGCTGTAGCATTCCCAACCATGACTGGGTTTAATAGGTTATGTAGTAATAACCAGCAGTCTTTATGCTGTATTTTACAGTTTAAAATTATTCAGCATTTTATAGCTAAAATTTACATTTAAAAATCTTGACATGGATTTTACAGAGAAAAAAAGTCATGGAATTTTGAATGGCGTTAGTTGTTGTGGTTATAACTTTCCCACTTTTTACCCCTTTTTTTTCAGCTATCTGAAGCTGTACACCACACTGACTTTATCAAAACTAGCAGCCTTTATGGAAACGGTAAGATTTATTAGATTTTATTTATTATGTTAGATACAGGATTAGGAAGAGGGAAAGAGAACCAGAACCCCCCTTATTTCACTGCTCTTTGCACTTTTTTTTTGCACTCTGTGATACAGTAACTACTTCTCTGTGAAAATTTTTAATAATTTTGCACTGGAAAATAAAATTGCAGCAAAAGTTCATTGTTTAACAGTGCAATGATTTACATTTTCTTTTCTTGTTTTTTTCTCAATTTTTAGTCAGAAGAGGATCTGAGAAATCATTTAATGTGTTTTAAGGTAGGTATTTGTTTACATGATGTCTTGTAGTCATCTTTTGGGTTCTAAAGAGAAATGTTTTTTTATGTAAGACTAATTTTTTATTTGTGACCTTTGCTAAATAGATAAAACATTGAATTTTATCAGTTAATCAACTTAGAGAAAATTCTCAAGGTCATGATTTTAGTGGTTGGTTAAAACAATCACAGTTAACTCTATTGCAAACACAATGAGTAGCCGGTTGAGACAGTCACACCTAACACATTGTTCCTGCTATTTCAGCACAAGATGAAGAACGTGGTATGGACAGGGAGCTGCAGTGGTCTGGAGGGAGAGTTCCAGTCTGCTTCTGAAGTGGATTTCTATATTGATCAGGTAAGTAGGCTTACATCTTAGGATGATTTTTTAAGGGAATGGATTGTGTTGCTTTGAAAATAATTCTATCATCTTTTTCCAAATTTTGAAGGACAGTACATGATTTAGAAAAAACAGGTTAGCCTCTCAGCGCCTTTGTTCAACTTGCCTTAAATGTCAGGTCTTGAGAAACAGTGTGGGACCAAAACAACAAGATTCAGAACAAACTTCATTTTCTTCAGTAGATGCTTTACTTTCCAAGATATGAAAATGAATAGCTCACATTTATGAGCAAAAGAATAAATGTATGCAGTCTTACATAAAAGACTACCCCATAATAGATAATTCAAGTCTTTAAGGTTGCTAGCTTTGAATTCAGGAAAGATATTTTTTGTATAATTTATGTTTATCAAGTTTTTCTTTTAATCCCCGTCACAGGATATGATTCACATAGCAGACACCAAGGTGGCGCGTCGCTATGGAGATTTTTTTATCCGGCAGATCCATAAGTTTGAGGAGGTAGGTGTATCAGGTGTATGTGAAGGTTGATTTAGAAATAATTTTTTTCTCTGTCAGATGGAAATCTGATTTGCAAAAACTATTCACCAGATATTTATTGTTTGAAAATCTTTAATCAAATTGATGTCAAAAATTGGGAGACTTTTCTGTTTGCAAAATGATGTTTGTTGTATGTTTTGTAAGAATAGATCCAATGAGTCAAACAGCTTCAAGAATAAAATTTTCTTTTTAATATTTTCCAGGTAATGAAGACCTTGAAGCCTTGATATCAGTGCTACCACATAGCAAAATGGATTCTTGGGGATTAAAAAAAAACAAAAAAAAAAGTTATTTAATTTTTGCATGTACAAGTGGACTGAGACTTTTTAATTCCAAGAGGAAGAAATGTACAATAACAGATATTGAGACTGATATTTGTGGATGTCAAAAAATAATGTCGGTAAATTATGTTCCTGTTAGTATGGACATATAAAGGCTGTAATAAAAAAGTAACATCTAATAAATTTGAAGAGATAAAAGATTTCCAAAATTGCAAAGAAATTGTAAGCACATTTCAAGTCTCACTGAGTAATTGTAAATGCCAGTGTAATGTGACAGAGTCCCCCATGATGAAGAGTCCCTTTCTTATTCATTTGTACGGGTTAACCTCACCCTAGATTTTGACCCACGTAGGTCAGACTATCCCTAGCCATTATAACGATGCGGATCTTCTGTTAGACGGACCCTCAGCTCTTAGTCGAAATTTTATCTTCAAACGGTTCTATGTCATCTTTCTGGTGGGGTAAATTGGGGGGGAGGGGGTCCAGAAAATTGACAAGATAAAAGGACACTTAATGGGATTTTCCCGCCAAAATAAATTTACTTTGGGTGAAAAACGATTTCGTCCTACTTGAGTATAATTGCTTGACCTGTCTTTGCACTTGGATTTGATGTTTATTCCATTTTTAATTGGATGTTTTAGATTAAATGACTGGCCACTCATTATTAACGGCTTGCTGATTGCCTCATCTCTGGCAAAAAAAATGGCGTGTCGTTTTATATCGCTGACCTATTCCGCGTGTAATACAAGTTGAAAGCCGGTGTAACGAAACTGAGGGTCCGTGTAACAGAAAGCCCCCCTCCATATAATTATAATGGTTAGGGTTAGTCTGACCTTAGTGGGTCAAAATCTAGGGCGAGGCTTACCTGTACAAATGAATGGGAAGCGGACTCTCTATCATGGGGGACTCTCTGTCACGTTACACCGACAGTGGCTGCCCGAGGAGGCTGATAAGATAAAGACACAAAGTACGCTTTAGATAGACTTTTATTTAAAAGTTTTTTTTGTCTTTTGTGTCTGAATTGGGGAAATAAAAAAGGTTTACGGAACGCACGTATGACTGTGGACAGAGACGTGTGGAGTGAAACTAACAATTCACACTCGCGGGAAATTCCTTTAGTCAACGTGGCTTTCTATTAACTGAGGTGAGGAAGTCTGCTATAAAAGTAAACATCAAGTAACAATGCCAAAGGTAGTACTTACCACAACACCGCGATAAACGGTTCATGCGCAGTTTTTAATTTTTATTAGTAAACTCACGTTAATGCATACAGATGGCGAGAAGGAGCTGCCACGTGTGACCGGATATGTAGTGATCTTTGACCTACACCTGGCGATATTCAGCATTCTCTTTGTGTTTTCAGTTCTTATCGGAGCCTGAATATTAGAACAACCGGTTTCTCCATATAGATACCTGCATTATCGCAAGTTATTTTAAAACAACGAAAATCCCGAAGGTTTCGTGAGATTTCCCCCGCCCGGGATGCATTTTGGGATGAAAAACTGATAACAAAGTTGCAAGTCATTGAACAATCTCAGTACAATGCATAACTTCCAGGTGTGCGGAAACAGTAACAGGGCCAATTCTTTTACCAAGCTGGATACAACATAAATGACGCTGAAGTGCCAACTCTGACAGATAATGTTATCGAGGTTATACAATATTGATCCAGTCAAGCGATCATTTACTAAACCCCTGTGATCTTTCTTTAGTTACTGTGACATGACACACGCTTACTTTATTTTTTAACATTTACTGAGAAAGTGCTATTTAAAAACCGCACCGTAAGAGCGTAACAAGGGAAAACCTATGTAGTATGTGCATCCCAAAAGCTCTTTAAATCGACGTGTCAATAAGCGGTATGCCATTGTGATTGATTATAACGCAATACTCAAAATATTCCCCAGACACCCCATGATCAATCTGGTATTGTTAAGCTTTTATTACACCTGTTCTATGGCACGTGCATGTTAATGTGCTGTTAATGAATCAACGGGGACTTTTTTTAATAAAAATGAGGGAATTTTTATTTGTCCGCAGCACGAGCTCTTTGTATATAGCGCTAAAGCAAGCCAGTCATTAGAAGAAAGGATCGAAAGTGGAAGAGCAAGAACTTTAAACATAATGTCGGACATGAAGCCGATTAATTCTATATTTTGTTCATTTTTAGTTTGTTTTATGTTAAATGTAGTTAGCGGACTCAACGCTATTCCTAGACAGCCTGTATCAAAAGAAAATTGTCAGCCAATCCTGGAGTATTATGATGAGGGAATAGGCCGATGTGCCAGATGTAAGGCCGAGTACGACTACGCCAGAAACGCAAACGTCAGCATAATCAAGGCTTGTGAAAGTAAGTCCCACGGAAGCATTAACAATTAACGCATATCATCATATATAAACAGTGGCGGATTTAAGGGGTGCGTCAGCGGGGTCCTGACCCCCCCCCCCCCTTCGATTTCTGAAAAAATCACAGCAATGGTCCCCGCTTAACGTTAGAATTTTGATAAGCTGAATCATACACCCCATTTCCATAGATTAGATCGACCTACTTTAGATTGACCTAACTCCCTGGGGGTTCACGCTAAATAGCTGTCAGCCGGGCGGACACGAAAGTTAATTACCCCCTTACAGCTTGTAGTAGGCGGGACGGACATTTAAGTCGTGAGACTCCCCGCGGGGATAGATCGATCTAAAATCTATGGGAATAGAACCATAGTTCTAATCTGTACCAAATGGCTTCGTTCGCTCTCTTAATACCAAAAACATTTTGGGCGGGCCCCGAAACCCACGTCAAAGAGGGGGGGGGGGGGGGGGGGGGGGGCGGGCTCCCCCCCCCGCCCCCCCCCCCCCCCCCCCAC